TGAGGCAGGAGAATGGCGTAAACCCGGGAGGCGGAGCTTGCAGTGAGCTGAGATCCGGCCACTGAACTCCAGCCTGGGTGACAGAGCGAGACTCCGTTTCAAAAAAAAAAAAAATCTCACCAAGGAAATAGTGTAGATGTGGCAGCCAGCAGTAGGGAAGGAGAGACCTGCCCATAGCCACTTTATTTCCCCCACACACACCCCCAGGCCCCAGATCCAAATGGCATCTCAGCTGGGTGTTTGGGTCTCACTGGAGTTGAGCCTCCGAAGCTGGCTGAGGCTGGCCAGGCGGAGTTTGAGTAGCGTCTCCTCCTGCGTGCGGAGCGTGTGTGCCATGATGCGCAGGGATTCGCTCTGCAGCACTGTGAATGGGAAGTGGGGGATCATCAGACCATGTGCCACCCCATGACCCCTGCAGACCCAGCCCAGGACCAGGGGCACCCACGGGCCTCCCACCCCATCTTTCATTGCCTCAGCATCTGCAGTTGGCTCCTTCCAGCTGCACAGAAGGGCCTCCCAGTCCCCCCCACCTTGCTGTCTATTCCTGCTGGCACCCTGTGCATCCATACCACTCAGGTAGACAGCCAGGAGTGCCAGCGCCAGGCAAGTGAGCACCAGCAGCACGAACAGCAGCAGGAACCCTCCTCGTCTGTACACAGGGCTGCAGCCAGCCTGGGCACATAGTGATGGCGGCAAAACGCTCAGCAGCTCATTCCATGGCCGTGCCTCTTCAGTGAGACAAGGGCGCAGTGTGCCTGCTGGGTGGATGGGACATCGATGGGGTGGTGGGTGCACCTGCTTTCGTCCCTTCCCGCAGCACATCATCCTCACTGTCCCCGCTCACCTCCACTGTGTAGGTCGCTGATGGACTCCACCCGATGCAGGTGCACCTCCTGCACGTAGTTGGGGGCCAGTGGCCCCCTGCTCTGGCTGAGCATCATTTGTGCCACGGAGTCTGCAGGGGCAGCGCAGGCTGATTTAGCCAGTGGTGGGTCAACCCCCTTCCTTTTACCAGGTGCCTTCAGGCAGCAGGGACTTCTGGAGGATAGGGATAGTGGGGCATTTGGTTCCAAATCCCCTAAAACTGAGTGAGGAGTGACCCTTGATTTGGATCCAGGATGATCGCAGACCCTTACAGGCTTATTCTGTATACAGGAGCAGCAGGTACATTTGATTTGTTTCCTTCCAAGCACCCCAGGGACTCAGGCATTCCTCTGCCTGCTCATTTCTAGCAGTTTATCAGCCTTCAATGCTAAACCTGCAGCAAATGGAATTCAGTCCTGCCTCTTTTGTCAGTTCTCCCTGCAGACCCAATGCCTGGCATCTTCTGGTCAGAAAGCCCTATTGTAGCCACTCTGGTGCCTTTCCCTCCTGGCCTTGGTTCTGTGTTCGTTAACATACTCGGTGTGACTCTGCTGTACATGTGTGAACCCTGCTGTTTTCATTCAACATTTACTATTGGAGAGACCCTTCTTTGTTATACTGTTTCATATGCCTCTGAGTTCTCGCCCTTCACACATCTCTCTGAGGCTGCCTGGGCATCTAGG